TCAATATTTTTTAGTTGAAGTAATTATTCCACATTATAGTATCATTAAGAGTTTAATTATGATTTATATTTTTTTATTTATACTCTCTTATGTTTAATTATAAAGCATCTTCAAATAAGCTTGTTACGACATAACAAGACTAATTTTTTTTGTTAGTGAAGTCGTAAGCAGGTCATTTATTTCTTATGATCCCACATAAGACTCCAGCATTGAGTGATATATAAGAGATAAGTTTACCAACCACTGAAGTTAAGCCTCAAAAGATACGTGCAATTATACTAAAGCCAGGAGATAATTGAACTTTACTTAAAAGCATTTTTCTTCTCAATTATCACAATAAAATCATTTTTCTTTTACCCACTATTAATTATACGTTCGGTTAGTGTTCCAGCTCATATATAAAAAAAAAAAAACACAAATATATTAAGTTAAAAATATAAAAATATAAATAAATCTATCTTTGAATCAATTTTAAAATGAATTAATTTTAGGAAGATCAAGAACATTTTCTTTTATTTCAACTATTTTCGTTTTTTTTTTCCTTCTTGGATTTAAAGAACTTGCATTTGCATTTTCAGTAGAAAATGTGAACAATTTTGGTTTTCACAACTTAAAATTTCAATTCATTCATCCAAAAGGAGAAAGAAAATAAGGATTTTATCACAAGTGGGATGAGTTTTCCGGCCTGCAAACTCATTAAGAAGTGTGAACACCGTTACTGGATAATCCCAGGGTCAAGCTGACATTTCTTACGGTTGACTATTTTTCGTCGGATTTGGGCCAATAAATTTTTTTTAATTCATTTTCTCTTTCCTCTTTCCGTCATTAATTTAAATATGATACAAAATATTTTAAAAATAGCTTAATATTATTATTTTGTTCCTTGTTGAGCAAAAATATTTTTTTTATTAATATTAGTATTTAGGCTATATGTATTTTGACTAAATCTGTAACTTTAAAATTAATAATTATATAAATCTCTTATAATTTTAAATTTTATAAAATTTAAATTAATAATATTTAAATAATAAATCTATAATCTAATTAATTAAACTACATCTCTTCAAAATTAAAATTATCCTTAACAAGAGGACATCCTCTTGTTAAAACTTGAAGAATACAAAAAAAAAAAAAAATTATTAGCTCATTCTTAAGTAAGGATGACAGCGATGGCATGAGTACAAGTTTCTTTTTCATATTCTCAAGTATTGGGCAAGAGTGGATCCCTTCAATACACCACAATATTAAAGATTAGAGATTAGGTTTGGCTCCATTTAGCGTCATAGCTGTATGTGTTTTACCCAACTATATACTATATACAATTAAAGTATTTAGTTAATTAATATATGTTATAATTTTAGGAGTCTTACTAAGAATTTTTTTCTTGAAATCTTGGTGGAAAAAAAAACTATAATTTTTTAGTTTTTTAAAACCTTCTTTTCCAAATATCAATAACCAGTTATTAATTATAATATCAAACACACATTTAAAACCAATTTAACAAAACTATGAGACTTTTTAAAATATTCAAGAAATGTTATTTTTTTTATTTATATATAACAAGTGGAGCCTGAACAATTTTCATTTCATATTTAGAACTTTTTTTTAAAATGAATATAATTTTTATTTCATAAATTATAATTAATAAATATATTTTATTTATTCTTAAAATTGTTTGTTAAGCAGAGGTATTATTGGACTATTCTCCAAGTAGCATTTAACTTAAACAGGCTTTCCACACGCTCGTGACTATTTGAGAATGGGTCAGATTACTCGATTCTTTGATCAACTTCCAAATCAATTTAGCCCCTAGATCTTGAAGAACTAGATTCCACCCCAGATGAGAAATATTTGATAAATCTCCAAGAACAGTAGAGCACGACGCAGCACTTGGACACATCTTGTGCCCTCACGTACCATGTGCCCATCAGAACCTTATGTAATCCCATCAACAAATAGGAGATTTCCCTTTTCTTTATTATAGCATTGGGGCCTAATTAATAAAAAATATTTAATAACAGGGTAGCATGGATTTCTTAATAGTGAGCTCAAAAGTTTAGTATTTAGTAATCGAACTACGTTAGAAAATGAGCTTAGTTGAAGCCTGGAACATAAAATTTCATTGGTCTGAATAAAGACATTGTGTTAATCTTGTTTGGCTATCTAACATATATATGGCCCATGGAACCCATCATTAAACTAATCTAGAAATTACCTAGGGGCTTAATCCGAATAATATCACCAACCGCTGGAAAACAAAGGTTGGGATTATTATTCTTGGCCTAATTATTTTTAATATATTACTCTTTTAATAGTTATAATTTTCTAGGTTTTGAGAACTTTTGAACAATTCAACGTATAATCTAATAAAAATAGACAAAATATAGTTCTAGCTGAAATTTTATCATATCATTTTAAAGTTCTAATTATATTAGGAGCATGTAGTTTGCTAGATTTCTTAGACCCAAATCAAGCCCTGAAAGATACTGTATTAGAATTTTCTTTAACTTTCTTGTTATTTTTCCTATTTCGATATAATTTTCAATTCAATTAAAATTCTACTATTTAGGATGCTCTTCTTGTAATTTAACATCCTTTTAGGCTATTTTTTCAAAGAGAATTATAAAATAAATCTTTTAGAATTTATAAGAGTAATTTTCTTTATAATGAAGGGTTATAACCTTAAGTTTGAGAACCCAAGTACTTAGAAGCAGAAGATTTTGTTTCAAGTTTTTTTTTATTTAGATTATAATTTTTAATTTAATTAAGATTTTACTGGTTAAGATATTTTTCTTGTATTTAAATAGTATTATAGATAATTTTTTCAAGAACAGTTTTATGAAATAAACCTTTCAGTATATATCATGTTAGTTCCATCATTTATAGTTTAGGATGATAAGAATTATTTTACTATTTTTTAAATAAAAAATACTTTAAAAAATTATTATTATTATTATTATTATTATTATTATTATTATTATTATTATTATTATCATATTCTCAAACACTTCAAACATCATGGCTCATAACATCATGGCTCATAGTTCATGGGACATATCTTATTTTTTTATTAATTTTGGTAAGAGAATCGTTCTGATATATTGAAAAACGACGGAAGACTTTAGGTGTTGAAGAACTCTGTCCACCCTATACACTCTGTCAAATCACCCCTTTCTCATAGACAGTCACTAGAATAAGAAAGCTCGGGTCGCTCAACATATCATTTGTTCAACCACCATGGCTCATTCTTCATGAGTCACATCCTTTTTTTATTATTATTATTAATTTTGATAAGGGATTTGTTTTGAGATATTGCAGAATGGCATGAGAGAGGTGGTAAATGTATCGTGCAACTGATGAGAACCAAGCTTTCAAAGTTACAGTAGAAGTTCTAAACAAGAGCTAACAGGATTAGAATTCCTGACTTAAGAATGTTATTGCAGGATAGATTTGATCTCCTAAATTTGAAAATAGTAAGGATACTATTGATCAATTGGCATGTATGGCAGCTACAAATAACATGTATGGTTGCCATTGCTCTATTGGCTACGGACATAAATGATAATGCAATAGAATTTAGGTATAAAGAATATGTTGTCAAGCATCACAAGATTAGCCATGCTTAAATCATATGGTTATCCTTACATCTTATGAGCTCGAATTCACATAGCATGCCTCTATGACAAAGGATGTTTTGCATTGTTGCAAAACAAACCAATTCACGTCTTCAATATATGAAACATTTGATGATTGATTGAACAAGAGGCTTAAGACCACCATGGAGCATCACCGGTTCTGAAATCTGTTTCGACCCATGGAACAAAGACCACCTTGCCATCGTCTACATCGCAGTGAGCCAGTGCCAATGACTGCACAGAGAAGTCATATTGAAGGCGGTTATTGCGAGGGTGAACTCAAAAATCATTATAGCAAGCAAACTGTTGCTGGTTGTTGATTTTAAAGAAGTGTTGTTGTTTTTTTATCATCTAAAATAGAGCAATCCACCAAGAAATAAAAGGAAAGTTATGTTTGACTTACCAGAGGAGCAGGTCCTCGGACAACTCTTCCTTGGTCATTGTACTGTGATCCATGGCAAGGGCAGATGAACTTCTTCTCAGCTTGATTCCAGGGCACGACACACCCAAGGTGTGTGCAGACTGCATTAATTCCATAAGTTGCAAGAACTCTATCTTTCTCCACAACAAGGTAGGTTGGATCTCCCTGAAATCCATAAAAAACAATCCAAATGATTCACTGTTCAGCATTACAAAATATTTCAGAGTATATGAAGTTGATAGAAATCAATGTTTGAGCGCCGCATGATTGTGTTTTTGCAAGTAATATCAGTTTTGTTAAAATAGATCCTCAAAAAACATTTGAAGATATGATATTGAAAATCCTGAATATGAAACAACACTAATTTTCTCATCATTTTAGACAATCTCCACAGATTCTTTTCACAAGGAACAAAAAATGATTTAGTTTGCAACATTTTATAGGTCTGCTTACAACGTTACTACGCCTTGTAGAAGTGTGACAGCAATTTCACAAATATCTCATTGGCTCGAGTGCAAACATATTTCGAGCTCCGTTTTATGCTAGAGCAAGACAGCATCACAGCAATGACTGGATCCATGCCAACATTTCTTACAACGCATGACCAACTTCCAATAAGAACTTGAAAGAAAAGTAGAACCGAAGGTGTAATATTTTCTGACAAGTTAATGACCAGAAAATATGATTATCTTGCATCAAAACAGAGATAAATGTACTCCTTATAATGACCAATCAGTGTACGACGAATTTTATACAATAAGAACGGAAAATGCAATGAAAAACATGTGCTTTAAGAAAGGAAAGGAAAGCTGCCAGTACCTTTAATCCTTGAGAAAGGGTTCGGTCTCCAGGGCCATGAGTCTTAAGCCATTGCTCTGCAATGATATCATTTCCAAGGGCATCCTTGGCAATGGTACCACCACCACCTCCTCCGAGCCTGATAAATTTTTCCAATTACAGCAAGGAAAAGTAATTTGTATTTAGCAACGTCCCAACGAAATGCAGGCATGTTATGGTTGCTAACGGCCAGAAATTTAATCCCTAAACAAATAAATTATAGCAATTGTATATATGAGGCAATTTAGAACTTAGCAAGCGAGGTTAATCTCAAAGAAGTAATTTATAAACTTAAACACAGCGTCGGAATTTTTGTATTCTTTACTTCTCAAGTTGATTTTAGCAATGACACTTCATTAGTGGAATTTTAGAAAGAATGCCCCCTTTAGAGAATCAAAATTTCCATTGAAGAACCTGTTAACTAGGCAAGGGAAAATTGACAAAAAAATATAAATATAAAATAAAGGAAAAAACCAAACTAAATTCGGTGGATTATTCAGCTCGATAGTGAAAATATATAGCATTCCAACATATATCAACCAGCACAAAAGTAAAATTTAATTCATTAAAAATTAAAACAACACAATATAAAATATGAAAAACGAGATATATACACACAAATAAACAAAAGACATGGCTAAGGTTTTTGCCTAGAAAGAAAGAAGAAGAAGACGAGAACATTTCTTACCCAGAAGGGACAAAGAAATAGGTGTAAGGAACCAACATGCCAGCAGTGGGGAGTGAAATAGCACCCAAAAGAAGCAGATTCATAAGCTGCCTCTTACCCATGTCAGGCACTCTATCATCAGCAGGAACACTTGTAGCCTGGCATGAAATTCTCATTCCTCTCTCCTTCAACACCATATTTGTCCTTGTTGGTTTCACAAACACCGCATGTGTAGGAGAGAACATGCCACTCTTGCTAGAGCATAGCTGATACACAAAACAAAAACAAAAAAAATAAAAACACATAATTCAATCCAAAACATCAAAGAGAAAGAAATTAAGTTCAAGAATAGTCAATGTTTGATGGGATTTTTTCTTTTTCTTTACCTGCGAGGGAGTGGCAGGGGAGAGAGTAGAGGAAGCCATGGATTGATGATTCTTGGACAGAAAACTGAGTACACTTTGATGATATTATGAATGGTTTGGTAATGCGAGAGTACTGTTAAAACTATAACGACCACAACTGTAATAGATAAGGCACATTAGCTACCTTGATGCCACACGACCACATGTTTAGAGATTTCGCTTCTCTTTCTGACAGAAGTTGCTGGCTTCCCCAAATTTGGGCTTTCTTCTAAGAACTTATGTTCTTAGCCTAATTCTTAGCCCAAAGGGCCTTAGAAAGTGCTTTACGGTTCTGTCTAATTCTTACCCTCCTATACTGAAATTGAAAAGCTAGGGAAACTTGACTCTCTCTCCTTTTCAATTCATCCTTCTCCTTCTTCTTCTTTTCAATTTTATTTTTTATTTTAAAAACATTAATAACTATTTAGGTTATTTTTAAACCAATCAAATTAATTAAATCATATTAAAATAATTTTAATATAATTTAATTTTAAATTCAAACCGGACAAAAAAATAAATAAATAAAATTCTATTCAAACCGGACAAAAAAATAAATAAATTTTTTATTATTAATTTCATTATATTTTTTCAATTTTATATTTGTATTTTTTTATCAGATGACTAAGTTGCACTTAGATTAATTAAATCAACTCTAAGTCAATTGCGTCATAACCAGAAAACTCTTACATGATTTTAGTTTAAATTCAGGTTATATAAAAAGTTGAACATGAATGATTTTTTATGTTAATTTTATTTTTTTAATTTTATTCTTGTATATTTTTATTATTCAATTAGGTTATTTTTAGATTAATCAAATTAACTAGATCATATCAAGATAATACATGCACTATTTTATTTTAAATTCGAATTAAATAAAAAATATTATAAAATTAGTTCAACTCCGCTATAAATCATGTTCCTTATAATGCCAAGTCAGATATTTGATGAACTAAAATCTTAATGTCTATTTAATTAGATTTATTTTCTTTAATATACAAAATCAATATGAAAGGTGTTTTCCTAGATTATTTAATGTACCATATTGATATAATAATTTTAAATATTTAGCACCCTCTTGATTAAATTTTACTTGTTATTACCTTGAAACCCAATCATTTTGGAGTCTTGATTGTACCATGTTGCAATTCAACATAGCAAATTTAATACTAGGTGTGGATCTCCAAGGTAGATAATTTTTTACATAGCAAATTTAATACTAGGTGTGGATCCCCAAGGTAGATAAAAAAAATTTTGCTTGAAAAATAATATTTAGATAAAAAAATATATATTAAAAAAATGAAACTAGTAGGAAATTATAGCAAATTAACCAAATTACAAAAAAAAATAACCACAATAACATGGAAAAAAATATTTTTCTAAAAAAAATAAATGAAATAGCTGAATTATTTTCCATGTTACTGTGGTAATTTTTTTTAATTGAGCTATTTCATTGAAAGATGAAAATGAAAATAAAACTCAATTTAACAAATTGGTACAAAAAATATAAAATAATCAAAATATTAAAAAATAAAATAAAAATAAATAAAATTGATTAAAAGGGTGTGATTGACATGAATGATTTTTTATGTTAATTTTATTCTTATATATTTTTATTAGTCAATTAGGTTATTTTTAGATTAATCAAATTAACTAGATCACATCAAGATAATACATAGATTATTTTATTTTAAATTCAAGTTAAATAAAAAATATTATAAAATTAATTTAACTCCGCTATAAATCATATTCCTTATAATGCCAAGTCAGATATTTGATGAACTAAAATCTTAATGTCTATTTAATTAGATTTATTTTCTTTAATATACAAAATCAATATGAAAGGTGTTTTCCTAGATTATTTAATGTACCATATTGATATAATAATTTTAAATATTTAGCACCCTCTTGATTAAATTTTACTTGTTATTACCTTGAAACCCAATCATTTTGGAGTCTTGATTGTACCATGTTGCAATTCAACATAGCAAATTTAATACTAGGTGTGGATCCCCAAGGTAGATAAAAAAAATTTTGCTTGAAAAATAATATTTAGATAAAAAAAATATATATTAAAAAAAATAAAACTAGTAGGAAATTATAGCAAATTAACCAAATTACAAAAAAAAATAACCACAATAACATGGAAAATAAATGAAATAGCTGAATTATTTTCCATGTTACTGTGGTAATTTTTTTTAATTGAGCTATTTCATTGAAAGATGAAAATGAAAATAAAACTCAATTTAACAAATTGGTACAAAAAATATAAAATAATCAAAATATTAAAAAATAAAATTAAAATAAAAAATAAAATTGATTAAAAGGGTGTGATTAAAAAGAAAAATCAATTCAATAAAAATTAATAAAAATTAAAAATCAAATTAAAAAGAAAAAATATATTTTAAATTGAAATTAAAAGATAAAATTGAGGTATCTGTTAAATTGCAGCTAGTTGATTGCTGGGTTGTCACCAATTTCCTGTGATCTTTAACTTTTTTTGTGGCTGACTTGCCTGTCAAAGATGATCTAACGATTAATTAATTATTTTTTAAATTAGAGGTATTAAGTTATTTAGTATCTAAAAATATTTCGGGGACTGAAATTATATTTTGTATACTCTTCTAGTAAGTATATACGAGAATTGGGAAAACAAACAGAAGCCATGAGATGGCAACCCAAGCCGAGCGCCTCAAATCCAAACCATACCTATAGCTAAGACTAAATCACCTCTGAGCCTCCGGGACGAACAACCGTCAAGTCAAATCAGGCACATTTACGGTGTAAAAAGTCAGCGTTTTCAAAGTAATTTTTTAAAAAATATTTTTTATTTTAAATTACTATTTATTTAATATTTTCAGGTTATTTTGATATATTAATATCAAAAACAATTTTTTAAAAATAAAAAATAATTTTAATATATTTTTAAATAAAAATACTTTAAAAATAATAAAAATTACAATTCTAGACGATAATGTTAACTACTTTGATGTTTTTTTATTTCTCCTAATTTTTTTTATGCCACCTTGATTATAACCTACAGGCTGCAATCATTGACCTTCAAAATACAACCATCAATAATGGAAAAATCATTTTTAAAATTATTATATATTTTATCCATAATTGTTTTTTCCAAGGGTATTGCAATGGAAACTAAATTTCTTCGACTAAATTTGTACGTAGTGGTAAGCAAAGAAACTAAATTCTCGCTGATGAAGTGAAGAATTGGAGCTGAAATTAATTTCTTCGACTTGAACACTGAAGACATTCCTTCAATATCTCCATGTTAATTAGAGCCTCGTGGGAGCTATTGGACATAGCAACTTAAGAATACAAATTGCTGTGTACAAATATAAATATAAGAAATCAATAGGTCAAGAATAACATAATTTATTTCAATTTTAATGAAACTAAAACTTTTGGTATATCATAAAATTCCATCCCAACCTAATTTATCAATTAATGTTTATTATTTCTTGTGTTTGTTTCTTGAACTCATATAATAAGGTAGCTTGTGACATGGCCTGTGATGGGCATGGGATTCTGGACTTCTCTATACATGTTTGGACTCAAAACTTGTGTCCTTTTTATGTAAAGAAACAGTACGGCCCCTGAAACCCTCAGCTGGACGGGCTAGAAATTTAGAATTAGAGGCGCAACACACCATGAATAAATGAGCCCGTTTGATTTTAGACTAATGTATAATTTTTTTTGTTCTAAGCAGAATCTCTATACATTGAAACGATATAATTTAGCATGGAATTCTTTATATTTGAACTTTGAATAATAATAAATCTGAAATTAAACATGGTTAGACTGGGCTTCCTTGAGCTATTAGCATAAAAAACTATTTGTTTCGTGAAATAATATAGCTGCAAAAAGTATCGATCAAATAGAATAGTTTGACTTTATCATGGTTTTTTAATGTAAAATTTAATTGGTATTATATTTCTCAATCATAATTTTTTATATATTTTTTTAACTGCAAGATCAATTAAATATCGTATTTAAAAACTGCAACTTCTTTATATACTATGTTTTAGAATCGTGACAGCCAACAAAATAACTAAAAGTTCTAATAGCTAAATCCCTGTAATCACCAAAATTTTAATAGCCAAATCTCATTTCATCATACGTCCTACATATTTGAAGGGTTCTTGTAAGATTTATGGTGAATTACACCATGTTTTCATGTTGTATGGATTCAGGTTAAATTGCATAACAACTCTAATTCCAATGAAGGTGGGGTTATGCGCTTGTGTTTTGTGATACAGGGAAGAATATAGATTTTATAACATGTCACAAATAAGAATTATAACATGTAAAGTTGTTACTATTGTAAAGTGAGACATGAAAATTGTTGTGCTAGATAAAAGCAATGTTTATTAAATATCACGATACTGAATTGCAACAATTTTAAATACAATGTATTATTTTGATAAAAGTTTTTCATACTGTCTGGTTTAAATTTTTATTGCTGTACTATTTTTTAATAAAAAAGTCTTTATGATTTTATTATTTATTAGTAGAAAAAATATGATTGAATCTTTTTGCAACCATCTTCACTCATCAACACAGGACTAGTGTGGAGTTTTTCCCATCCATAACAAAGCCTTGATCGGCACTTGTTAGTTGACTTGGCTCTCTACACTTATTAAATGAAAATGCAATGATTGTGCTTATCTG